TGCTGTACATACAGAAGGACACAAGATTTGGACACAGATCTGTAACTATCCTTCCAATAATATCACATTCATTGCATGAGCTGTTTCTGTTTTATTATTTGCTTGTACACTTTTCTATTTTGCCCATACTTCCATGTGTGTGTATGTATGTGTGTGCACGAGTACAATATTTCTGCTTGCCTTACAAAATCACTTATCAAATACACATATCAAGGAAAACTGACAAATGTACCAGCATAATTTTAAACCCATTATATGATTATAATGCATATTTTACCTATATGGTTGAAACTAATATGAAGATCCTGGAAACTGAACACTATGAGAATATAGATATGAATAGTCACAATTAGGATGTTCTCTAGGGTAAGAGTTCAAGTTCAACTTGACATGAGCCTATCAAATAAAGAAAGCTTTGGGGCTACGTGTTATCAATACTAGAGGAGATCCAGCAAAAGCTACAGATGGATTTAACAGCTGGAAAAGGCTCAGTGCACATCTTGCATGCTCCATTCAGCCTGGGAACTCCCTCCCATTCCTCCCCCTCGAACAGGGAAGGACTCGCTCTCCAGCCAGATGGTGACATGATCACAGCTGCACCTTTGGTAGAGGAATCATCAGGCAATATGCCAGAGTACATCCAGGTGAATATATTATAGGATATCCATAGTTTATTACAGCCAAGTGATCAGAGGAGTGCTGAGGTGTTTCTGAAATTATTAAGTTCCTTCAACTCACCCAAGTCTTATGGCACATTATAAAGTCAGGTCTTTTTAGAAAGGACCCGTTTTGGAGACTTCTGTCAGCAGGCAGTTAGATTGGATCATCTGTGGAAGAAGGGTGGATCTGCACATTAACTGTCTGCTTTCTTGGCCTAAATTATTTCAAGAAAAATGGCATTTTACCTCATAGATAACCTTGACCATCTTGAATGTGACTGAAAGGCAACTGATTGCTGCATTTGAGGTAACAAAAGCCAAACTAGTGGGAGAAAAAGGAATTGTTTATATAGTACAATTTCCTTAATTTTTTTAGAGGTAATGTCAACTCTTTTGAGATTCTATTTTAGGCAGTAAAATTGAATCAAGTGTTTCCATTGCTTTAGAAGACTTTTAGATTACGTTCACAGGCCTCAGCTACACTTCATAGAAGCTTATAGCTTTCATCTGAAAAGCAAAATTAGGTTAGATAAATCTTGAAGAAGGCATGCATGTATGTGCAATATTTCTTAAGAAAAAAATGGCATGATGAGCTATTTTTTAAAGCACACTTTTTTCTTAAGATGTAGCAAGTAGACAACCTCCCCACTAGAATATTTTATGCTCAGTTAGTTACTTTTTTCTTCTCAGACACTTCTGGTCTATTTAATTCACCCATATTCCTAGTCATGTTTAGAAAACTCATCACACAGAGAGTGACTTTAGCAGAAAATTAGGCTCTTTGCTCAGAATCTGTGAAATGATCAGAGGTTAGTTCTTAAGATCTAGTGGTAAGTACCTTCTATTGTCATTTGCTCGTAAATCTCTCACTATACTTCTGGTGTTTATAAAAAAATATGGATAGAAAAGGAGCAATATCTCACCAGCAAATCCCCTTTAAGATAACTGAGAGTGAAAATCACGTGAATGGTTTCATGGGCAAGCCTTGGGTTTACTAAATTCTTTTACTACTCAAAATCTTTCTGGGGAAGGAAAGTAAAGGGTATTATATAATTGGATACAGAAATGTAAAAATGTTTCCTTTGTTGTAAAATATGGTGAGATAGCATTTAGCTATTTAGCATTTGACTATTAACTACTCAGCATATGTCTGTTTTGAAGTCAATGTTTTGATAGCAGCTTCCCTAGCAGAGCTAAACAYGTATAATTGGATTCAGTGGACATTGAAGAAAAAATTGTGGTGCTCAGATATGGAACTTTTGCAGGACAGTGCTGAGAGAAAGTTGAAAGGGACACAGAAAAGGCTGAAGTCCTCAGTGCCTTCTTTGTCACTTTCCTGGCTTCCAAACTTTCCTGCTGACACTTGACTTCGGGACTCCCAAACCCTGGAAGTAGCAGAACAAAAGCATAAGCAATGAAGACTTCACCCTGGCAGAAGGGGATCAGGCTAGGAATCATTTTAACAAATTAAACCTATGCAAGTCCATGGAGCCTTGTGGGATTTGCCCATCAATCACTCCCCCTAGTTGGCAAGGCCACTCTCAGTTATCTTTGAAAAAAAAAAAAAAAACAGAAGTTGATGGGCAAACTCCTGGGGACTGGAAAAAAGTAAATTTTATCCATACTTTCAAGCAACACGGAAGGAGGATCCAAAGAACTATAGATCAGTAAGTCTCATCTCAATTCTGGGTAAGGAGATGGAAAAAATAGTAGAAACTATTTACAAACTTAYTAAGAACAAGAAGAAAATGGGAATAGTCAGCATGGATTTATGAAAGGAGAATCATGCTTAACCATCTGAATAGCCTTCCACAATAAAATCAATGACTTGGTGAATAAAGACCCTCTCAGAGAGGATTGGGTGCTGTTTATATCAACTGTAATAGACTTTTGACCCTGACTCCCATAACATGCTCATAGACAAACTGATTAAGTAYAGGCTGTATGACAGTGAGGATAGTMAGATTGTAGAATAGGCTGTAGGACAGTGAGGTTGACTGAAAACTGGCTGAACTGCTGGGCTGAAAGCATTGTGGGTGAGATGAAGTGCAGTGGCATTGCATTGTGCAGTGGGATGAAGTTCATCTGAACTGAGTCTCTAATGGTTTACCAGTYTCTAAGGGTTGATACTGAGTTTAAGGTCTTCATTAGTGACCTGAGTGATGGGACAGAGCGCACCCACAGCTTGCTGATGTTGCAAAACATGAAAAGTGATTGATACACTAGATGGTTGCACAGCTGTTCAGAGAGGCTTTGCCACTGGATAAATGGGAGGATGAGCTTTGTGAAGTTCAACAAAAGGAAATGACAGGCTCTGAACCTAGAGAGAAATAATCCCATGTATAGGCTTCAGCCGATATGCTGGAAAGTGGCTTTTCTAAAAAGGATCTGAGGCTTTTGATCCAGCACTGTGCCCTTGTGATCAAGAAGGCCAATGGTATCCTGGGCTGTATTAGGAGGAGTGTTGTTGGCAGGCTCAGGGAAGGAATCCTCTCTCTCTTTCTATTCTTCTATTCTGCCCTGGAAAGGACATGTGTGGAGTACTGTGTCCAGTTCTGGGCTCCCCAGTATTAAAGGCACATGGAGTTACCGGAGCAAGTCCAGTGCAGGACCATGAAGAAGATAAAGGGACTGGAGAATATGACATAAAAAGAGGTGAGAGAGCTGAGGCTGTCCTGCCTGGAGAAGAAAAGTTTCAGGATTATCTTATCAAATTTTACAAATATCTGTCAGGATGACGTAAAGAGTATGGGGCCAGACTCTTCTCAGGGACGCTGGTATTGTGATAGGATGCACAAAGTGAAATATGGGAAATGCCACATAAATATAAGCAACACAGTTTTAACTAGAGCAAGCTGCCCAGGGAGACTGTGGCATCTCCATCTTTGGAGATATTCAAAACCTGACTGGCCACTGTCCTGAGCATCCTGCTCTACCTGACTCCTTCTTTCAGCCAGTGGGTTGGATTCAGTCATCTCCAGAAGGTGTTTACAGAATAAATGACTTTATAATTCCAAGCACTTACATTTATTTAGAGAAAGATGATCGTCAAGCCCCCSAGCTGTTTGAAATATGATCATGGAAAAGTATTTGGGATGTTTACTGAAATATAGTATGATTTAGGAAAAGGAAAAAATATGGTTCTTTGGAAAGAGAATGGCAGATTGTTTGACTTGTTTGTTACAATTGCTACAAAACTAGACTTGAACAACAAATTTTGTTGGTATTTAACAGTCTTAAAATAGCTTACATTTTCAGACATTCTTTCCTAAATGGAGCAAGTTTGTCTCTTGAGGTGTGTGTGTGGCATAACAATCTGGAAGTTGATACTGTCTGTTCTGGACTACTGCATGTCAATGGGCACCTTATTTCAACTTCTCTCCCTCTCTCCCCCCCGCCACCTTCTTTTTTTTTGACAAAATAAGTAATGATATTTCTGGCCTTTGTAACACAATTTCAGTGATGAAATCTGAGATAGGTGTTTATATATTTTTTTTAATATAATGAAACTTACATAATTTAAAATAATAATGGGAAGAAAGAAGAAAAGAGGTATTTGATATTAAACGTTTGTTTCAACTTTTCTATCACTGAAATTCAGTCATATAGATTAACCTATATTTGCTGATTTGTGATTCAGTTAGAAACCCCTGTTTATTTTATCATACCTAAAAGAATAGCAGGCTAATAGATAACAGATGAAATATTATGTTCCCATTCACAGTGCTACACTTCAGTGACTGCTAAATATCAGGAAAGGAGGTGGGAGGGAAGAGATTATGCCTAGCTGTCTAGTGAAAGCTGTGTCAGGTCAGAACAGATACCACTGAAATATTTTGTTACGGCAAAGCAGAAATCTCCATACTGGGTGCAGAGAGAGCTGCTTGTCTAAGTCCCATTTCCAGTGGACTGGAGTCAATGCRAAAAGTGGCCCTTGCTGGGAATTTCACTGGCATGCCATTGCATGCAGAATGGAAGAGGCGTGAAGAGATAATCCTTCAATTGTAAAGGTGAGCAGAAAGGCAGAGAGGGGTGTTTACAGCACTGTGGTATATTCTGTGCTGGTACTGTGGGTAAAAGAAACAATCATGATATCCATGCCGCAACACTTCTCGTAAATCCTTAAAAGAGGATCTTCTTCTATGTATTTATATAACAGCTTTTACTGAAACTACAACTGTTACTGACAATATTTTTCTTTTTGTAGACATTTACATGTTTTTGAGGGGAAAACTCACTTTCTACTTGTTTTCAGCCACATCTGTACCTGATTGTATGGAGGCTGTGGGATCTGTACCTTTGTTTCAATGTGTATTGCAACATTTTTATTGCATTCCACAGGTCCTCCAGTAAACGTTACTTGCAATATTTTTATCAACAGTTTTGGATCAGTCACAGAAACCACAATGGTAAGTGCTGCRCTGCCACTGGCAAGAAAACAACAGTACTTAATATATGTCATGAACGCAACCTGTCAATTTTTCTATTTATTGTTCAACTTGCAGGTCCTCCTGTAAATGTTACCTGCAACATATTTATCAACAGCTTTGGTTCAATAGCAGAAACTACAATGGTGAGTGGGACTGGCCATTGAAGCCATCTTGTGAAGGAGTGGGATGAGATGTAGAATAGAGAAGCTGTAGATGTGGGGACAATAAGTTCTTAGCTTACTAAAAATAAACCAGTTGAATTAAAATAAAAGAAATATAAAAATTGCTATAAAGAAAGAGACATAAGTTACTAAACTTGACTATCAAATCTTAAGACATAGCTGTAGTGACGGTTCCACAGTCTGTAGTGACTGTGACGGCAGCCAACAGAGAGAACCCAGAGGAGCTTTCCCAGCTCTTGCTAATATTGAAGCTGCAGAGTAATGGAGTTCAGCTTTGGGGATGCCTGTTAATACTTACTTGGCATCTTGTGTGCGTCTCTTGCTGCACACTGAATTATAGACTTCCACAAGCTATGCTGATGTAGGCAACTTAACTGTCTTATTTAAAACAAACTAACTTGCTCACCTATTTCTCTATGAATTGCATCCCATCAGTAACTTGCCCAAATGACTAAAAAATATAACTATGAGGAKGAGACCAGGGAATTTTGATGGACAAATTGATATTAGGAAATGATGGGACTCCAGAGGGCTGACAGAGTATTTTAACTGAATTCAAAGAACGAAAGAAAAGGGATRTAATAGCAAATTCAGAGTTTCCATTATGATCTTTAAAATTCAAATGCTTTAATTCTCATTTCAATATGAGTTTTTCATTTTAAAAATGCTTAATTTTAAAACTGGAGAAGTCAGAGATAGACCAGAAATGTTAATTCCAGTCCATTTTTTCTTTRGGGATGGTTTGGAAGCAAATGTTCATTTTCTCTTAAATTTTGCTAAGAAAAATGAAAAGGAAACTATTTGAAATAATGCTGAGTTTTTTAATCCTTTATTTCAAAAAATGAATCAGAAAAATCAACTATTTATTCAAGCATGCATATACCTGGCAACCAATGTTAATTTTTAGAGGGTTTTTGGTGGCTTTCTTACAGTAAAAGCTTTTCTTCAGCAACGAAAATGCTCAGGTATTAGCATGCAAGAAGTGAGTTTAACACATTCTGAAAGGGAACTAGTGACACATTCCAGGCTGTTTTTGGATTCTTCAAGTCTCCTTTGTGACAGAATAAACTAATAAAGAATGCTTGCGCCTGCACTGAATATACCTCATTTTGTGAGACGTRCATCCCCTCAGGAAAGGAGCTAAGGACACTTACGAAGCAATTTCAAAGAACTTTCATTAGTCTGGTGTGTGATTCCTACACATTGCAGAGGTCTTTCTATGTTTGTTGAAACCAGAGGCAATAAAACTGCTTAGTACTTTGAACTCTGGACAGAGCTCTTGATAATTGCTAATGAACTTGCTAGCTATAAAAGGACTTAGGGTATACCAGAGGCTATTTTTTTTATATCATGGGGTAGATATTGCCTTGTGATCTTTGCTTTCTGAGGGAAGAGTGGATATTTAGCTTAGTTTAAGAGTTTTATTTAGTATATATAAATATTTAATATAAATGTCATTTTAATTGTTGCTGCCATTTTAGAAAGAGGTGCCTGAGGAACACAAGTCCTCTACTCCTAAATATATATAGTTTTAAACTCTGCAACTTAACATTTTTCAGCATAAAAKGCAAGCTGTAACTAGGACAAGTTGAATTATTACTTAATGTGGAAAAGACACAGCTATAAAATATTCAGTGATAAAGTAAACAATTTAATGCATTGAATATAAATATGCAATCTTTTAAAATCATCTCAATGAGAAAACTAAATTAAAGTTAAAATGATATGAAAATGAATGTATTTTGATGTAATTTATAATTTTTAACACATAATTTTCAGGTTAATTAATTWATTTCCTGTTTAAAGAGCAGTTAAAAGATAGATATAAATATAGCCCCTTTTCCCCAGCCATGTCTGTTGTCTGTCTTAGCTGTTAGAGACATCAACATAGGTTTAAATAGAGAAAAACCTGCACGTCACTGGCTTTACAAGATGGCATTCAATGAAAATATTTGCACGACCTAATGCTGATTGCATTAATTAGACTCCTTCATTGCTTTGATTAAATCCCCTCATTGCATTTTACCGTCTATCAAATATGTTAATGTGTASCTTTCCAATGTTCATTAACACATTCTGCTGAAAACAGCTGAACATTCAAGTAGTTGAAAACAAAGACCGTTGGCTTTCTTATTTTGCTTTGTTCATAATGTTTGCCAAAACTGTGGAGAGTTCTCTTAGATGCTGTTCAATGGGTTGGTAATGGTTTTATTATGCTMTCACTTCTTTAATGAATGATATGACTACTTTTACCATGTATTAAAACTGTTYGGAGAGAGAGGAAGTTATCAGTTATTGTTCTACATACTTCGTTCTGAACTAGATAAAATTGTGTGGTATAATGTTGGCAGCCTTTGTGATAAAAAAAAATGAGTTCTGTTTGACTCCTAGGATTCACTTTTGCCTATTACATTTTCTTGAGGGTTATGACATAAAACTGAAAGATTGATTTAAAACACTGGATTGCAAGTCAGAAAGAGACATTCCTATCTCAGAGGACAGGTATACTTACTGAAATCATATAGATGTACTGAAGATACATTTTTGGAATATAACTTGGAAGAGCTACAGTAGGTCATTGTAAACTCTGGGAGATGAAAACTTGCTTTGAGAAGCTCTCACGGGGAAAAAAGAATATGGCAATCAGGATTGATGTCCCAGTCCTACCAAAATCAATGTCATGTTCTCATGTTCTCAATAACTTTAGCATGGGGTAGCTTCTTTTCTGTAATTGGAACTGATGGCTGGGTCAGAGTCATCCTTTTGTGAAAGGCCAGCACAYTTCCTATGCCCAATGTATTTTCCTAAAAACTACTCTCTTCTATGAGAATTAAAGCAGGATTTTGTGCTGCTTCTCTCCAATAAGATGAATTCCACACAGTCTTTATGAATTTTGTTGAGAGTTTTTCTCAAAGAGCAGGAAAAAAATGCATACATGTTTTTCTGCCTTTCTGCCTTTCATCCATGGGACAGTATTGCAATTAATTATTTTATTCTTATACATTAGAATGATGTATATTATACCAAAATATTAAAAACAGTAGACAAAAATTATGAAAAAAGACCAGATCAGAGTCAAGATAGCATCACAGGGAATTTTCTTTATTGATCCACTTCTCTTTCATTAAACTACTAACTTGCAAAGAAAGAGCAAAATCTCTTCCTGAGTCACATCACTGGATAAAAAAGTTATCCCATAAGCCGGTAAACTCTGCATCTATTTTTGGAAGCATTCACACATGGAGCATTCAGCAGAAAATTCACTGTGCAGCCTGAYTGTGGTTGCATATCACAGAGGATAAATCTACATCAGGCTGGGCAGAATCCCAAATAATTCAGATGTTCAGTGTTGCTAATGACCGGATTTTTTTAGCTATCACCTATAGAAGAATGTAAGAGGAGTCTGTACATTGACAAGCTAATGGTTAATTATAGAAATGACTATGAAGACATTATTATTGTCATTATGTCCTATAATCAATGAGTGACACAGTGGAGCAAATTCTTTTTGGTGATAAATGGACCAAACTCTAGTTGTGTTTTAGGTACCTATGTTAGCAGAAAATTTTGTCATCCTTCTTAAAATTTTAGGAGCATTAGAGGTTTGCTGTTTGAGTATGTTAGTATTTTCCCACTAGAAAAACCATAAATAAGTTTGCTACATCCTGATTTAGTGATTTATATGTATAGTTTTAATTACATCAGACAGTCCCACTGAAGCCATTGGGGCTACCTTGAATACTTTTTAACATGTGGGTGACCAACTGCTTTTCTGTTGCATGACCTTCATGACCTTGCAATACATGATTAAGCCACTGTATCCCAGTCAGGAAGTATATTTAGGGTACAGAAAAGATGCAGTTTCTCTAGCAAGCCTTTCTATGCATGTAAGACTGGCTTAGTCTGTTTGACTCAGATATCTGACTCAACACCTGGATGATTAAAGTCATTGGAGGGAAAAGTGGGAAGAAGGAGATGAGTATCAGTTCATAGAAAATAGCACTGAGGAGAGGAGTCCTCCATCCCTGCTACTTCTAGATTAGCTGCCTGCAGCCAAAAGGACCCAGAACTTTGCTGAAGCTCTTAGTAGTTACCTTGGTAGATGCAACATTGAGGTCCCTGACTTTGCCCAGTGTGAGGGGAATGGAATGATATTTTTCTCTAGATTCCTATATTACAAACTTGATATATCTGTATACTAGCTTCCTAAATCTTCAGAGAAATCTAATAAAGTTAATCAGATTACCAGTTCTTGAGAGTGTTAGTATTACCCTGATTTTTCAGCTTGAGAACAGAGGAGAGCTGATTGTTCATATGAATTGCCTTGAGCTATTGCCAGTATCAGTGTTGCAAGCTGAGATCACAACTTTATGTCCATACTTCTCTTTTAGCACAGTAGCACTGTCAGAAGGACTATGTGAAGCAGGTGTACTCATGCTCGTGTAGGAGTACAGTACTACACTCCACCCACATTGGCCATGAGGAACTTGCAAAATACACACAGCCCGAGCTCCATGTTGTCATGCTCAGAAGAACATCTTTTCTTTTTGTAAGAGAGTGACAATGCTAGCATAGGAAAAAGTAAATATAAAATTCTACACCTGATTAGGCCTCCTGGTGTAAATGTACGTTCCTCTTTGCTGCTTTTATGACAAGCAGAAGAAAAAGTAAGGACAGCTTTCGGCTGTTTGTGTTTGTATGACTATTTCTTTTGCTATCAAGCCTATAAACAAAGTCAATCAGATACAAGCTGATGTGCTATTTTGCTTCGACCAGCATTGCATGCAGAGAGAAAGCATTTCGAAGTGAATCAGTGCAGCGGGTCTGATATGTTTATAAAGATGATGAAAAAGACAGTATAAGCCTATTGGCATTATTTATGCTTTTGGTATAATGTATGTCATAAGCAAGCTCTTCTTTGAATAAGGATCTTTCAGATTGTTTTTTGTTTCCTAAATCATCAAAAGTTCATGAAGGAACATTTTTTTAAAAAAATCTCTCTAAAGCATTTGGTGATTTGACTGCTTTGTGATTTCTGTGTCATGAAAGAAAAAAATCCTTATTTCCTGTTTCAAAGAACAAATAAAGGTAGTTGTGCAGCTAGTTTTAGTACATTTATTCTACCAGCARTCTCTGATTACAGCTCCAGCATTATTTTCTGCATTAAAATTTCAGAATTAAAATKATTTTACTGTCTTTATAACTGACACTGTCCTGCATACAGGCAAACTCTTTTTCTAAGACCAAAGAATTAATGAATGTTCACAAGATGTGAAGAGAGTTTATAACTTCAGAACTCCAAGTAGCTATTTGATCTTAAGCTGTATGAAACCACACCACAGCAAAAAGTGGGTTCTGAAAAATAGATGCAGAATTACTCTTGAGACCTCTAGGTCTGTCTCTCTGTGATTAGTAGCTACTCATGTTTTGATCCACTAGCAAAAGAAAAATGATAAAGAAGGCAGCAAAATCATGTTGCTATTAAGATTGTGACACATCATCCCAAAGATTTCAAAAACATTTGTTTGGATGTTGGGTCTGTTAGAAATGTTGCGTCAGGGTAACAGCACACTTTTCATCATGAACCTACTGAATAACAATGGAAATACTGATGCTTGGAGGGGCTTATTCAACAGAACTTAAAAATTGCACAGCTTACTGCACCTTTAATGAGGGTAGTAATACTTCCTTTTCAAAGATGATAAGTTCTTTAGGAAATGCAATTGAATGTCCTAATGACACATGTCAACTCATACAATTTCCAAATTAAAAATACAATGCTGCCATTTTGATGTAATACTGCTATCACAAAAATAAATTAGAAATGTGTAAGAGTTGCACAGCTGACAAAATTATTTTGCTACCATAYTCCTTCAGATAATGTAATTTGTATAAATATTCTTGAATATTTTCCTTTTAGATGAAAAATAGGTGTATTTCTAAGAAAGCATTCACTGGACAGATAAATTTAGTAATTAAACAAATATGTAACAATAGTTACACTGGGGGAAGCACAGCTGTTATTGACTGACTGTGGAAATAYAGGATAAGGAGAACAAGCATGATCATTTTCCCACTGTCTCCAGTGGGTTTTGGATAAGACACTAAAAGCTCTTTTCATACTCCCTTTTAATAGCCAGTTCTTGGCACAGTCTTAATGTTGATTCCAAATGAACCTCTAAATAATTGCTGCCTTCCCAGTGGTGACTAACAGACCACTGAGCAGAAGAATGCAATTAAAATGATTTTAATGGGATGCAGAGAGGGAGGAGTAAATGAAGTGACATACAGAGAAAAGCGTACGGGAGACAGAACGAGGATAGAAACAAGAAATAAGAAATGTTGATTTAATTTCTTCAGTAAAAATCTGACTTTACTGGAATTAGCAAGTATATGTGAGTACATCAGAAATAATCAATTTATATATTGTAAGCAATTTATTTAAATTAGTAGTTTCATAGAATCTTCTTTGTTGTAGAAATGGTATATAGCTAACAGCAATGCTTTCTGATTTTCTAAGTACCTCTGTGTTAATCCATAACATTTGACAGGGAGTTATGTTTAATATCTCAGGTTGCAGCTAATATTTTCTTCATCATAGAAGTAGTTTCAATTTGGAAAATGTACCAGTTGCGTTTGTTTGATACTTACACTTTATTTTCAAATGACAATTCTCATGCTCAAAGGATAACAAAATTGTTTGCTATAACCCTGGCACTATACATAGTCTAAAAAAAAGCATAAGCAAAGCTAAAGTGAGGCCATTTTGGTTATTGGCTTAGTAACCTTTATACATGGCATTTCTGTAGGACTACAGAGTGAACATTTTTTTGAGACAGCAGTGGAACGACTCACGTCTGGCTTACAGTGAATATCCTGATGATTCCCTGGACCTGGATCCCTCTATGTTGGATTCTATTTGGAAGCCGGATTTATTCTTTGCCAATGAGAAGGGTGCAAACTTTCATGATGTCACAACAGACAACAAGTTGCTGAGGATTTCTAAGACTGGAAAAGTGCTGTACAGTATCAGGTAAACCTGTCTGTTTTTTGTTCTTCTTCCCTCTCCTTTCCCTTACTCCCTGTCTTTCTGCATATAACCAGAAGATAATTTACATATTTAATTTTTTGTTGTCCCATGTGAACCCTAGAAATGAGACTTAATCACATCAGCTACTCTCCTTTGCTCAGCTTTACTTTTCACAAAATAGTCTGTAAGGGGAACAGTGGTACTTCTTAATCTTGTTAGAAACTTAAGGGCGTTTAGTACTTCACTGGCATGCCTTGATAATTTTCATTAACATTACCTCAATTATTCCACAAAAAAAGCCCAGAAAATTCACTCTTCRGACTTTGTGGATTGCTGTTTCAAAGCAAAGGGGAATAGTATTTTAAATCTCTAATGGAGACCTTAAGTGAAAACATGCTTGAAATGTAATAAACTTGACATGTAAGTTCCTGGGTAATCTGATGCATCTGCCCATATTTAAAAATCACTGGAATTATAGAGTGCTTTTTTTTTTTTTTCATACTAAGTGCATTGCAGTGTGTGTCATGTGACCAGATTAGGCTGAATTTATAAATGCTTTTTGACAAAATATGATTTGTTATGACCTGGTGAAATGAGACATATGCAAAGAATCAGAATTTCATTGCAAATGCATAAATAGCATACAAAATCTGCAGTACTTCTTTGATACTCAACTTACTGTGAACCATTAGTCGTTGAGTATATGCAAAGGTATAAAAAATGATATTATTGCTCTTACAATTATTGGAAAAGTAATTACTGTGTCTTGTATGCTCCTGGGGATGATTCTTGGTTTTTGCTTTCTTGCTCTGTGGAAGGTAAACATGGTAATATCTTTCTAAACAGTTGTTTAGAGAGTTTGATCACCCACAAGGAATATTCTTTCAGATGTCCGGTTATTTCTAAGTGAAGATTCTGTTGAGACCCGTTTTTTTATCCAGCAATCACTGTTGATCACTGTTAATAAGGGCAGCCGTGTTGTCTAGGAGGTTAAAGAAACAAATAATTACCTGAAACTTCCTCTCAACTTATTATCTGTGGAAACTCCTTGATGAAACCCAGTAATACATGGATACATTAAATAGCCTGAAATTAAACATTTAGTCAGAGAGATTTCAAAACAGCATACCTGAACAGTTTGAGGAAAATAATTGGGACGAGAGGATGAAACTGGCAGTAGTAGAGTAATAAATATGCTGCCACTTACAAATACTTCTTGCTTCACCCTGGGAAAGAAATGAATGCACTTGTTCCTTTGAATGACATCAGACCCCCTCTCATTGGAGGCGGGAGTGCAGTTGGGTGCCAATCTAAATGCAGATGAATAATTTTCCTGACATTTGTCCGTGCGAGAAAAGCAGAATTTCAAGCTGTCGAATCACATTTGTAAAATTCCCACACTAAAATGCAGATTGATCTAGAGTAAGCAGTATTTCATTTGAGTATTAAGCAAAACACATTTTTATTTGTACTGCACAGCAGTAACTGAAGTTTACCTGGTGCTTCTAAAGCATGGCGTATAATTTTGAATAATTCTTTCCAGAGTACTGATTTTCGAAGTCAGAAGTAATTAGAAAAACTTGTCTCTATTCTCTAGATACTGAGCCAGATGCATCTTTGTGTTACCGGGGACTTTTAGTTGTACTGTGCTGAAACAAACAAGAATATTTTAGTCATTGGTTTCTGAACATTAAGAATGTTATAGCACTGCCATTTTCACTACTACACCATTAGCACTTAGCCTGACATAATTATATTTAACACCTAGCGTTTAGTGTGCTCTAAATTTTTAAGGTGCTTTACAAACGCATCTGAGTAGCAGTAGTGCGGGCTACTTTGTCGTATTCCTAAATTTAATAAARTAGAGGACAAGGTAATCTCCTATAAATATAAACCATATTCTGTGTAAAATGTGTCTGCAACTGCTCCCAGTAGTTACTGTGTAAGAAGCAAGGGTTTTTTGTTACATAACACCACTATTCATCTTCTTTATATATTGCACTAAAAACATAGAAATAGGCTACACAGTCGGCACAGTTGGCTTATGCTGCCACCCATCCTGAGAKGCCAATCCTGCTTTCTCAGGCAAGAATTTGGACAGTCACATGTGACCAGAGCTCGTGGGCAAGACTATACTGGAATACAACCCTTGGTGTAGGATATGGCCACTTAGATGAGTTATTGCAAGGTCAGTGAGGATCCTTTGCAATACGTTACCTCTGTCGCAGTAGTTGGCTCAGGGACTGCTTTTACCCCATGGTAATCATGAAGTGGTTTATCCTTTCAGAGAGGGATAAGCTACTTTACATTCACTGGTGACTGTAAGCATGATGTATATTTGCACTGTAGTTTACCTATCAGTAATTAGTGTGCTTATGCTTGYAGACTTCTGAATCTGTATTTAGTTCTTTGGGAGTTGTTACAGAAAATAAAGCCATCGTGGCCGATGTAGCCATCTATGAATCATATAAGCATAGGAATCTAAACCTATTCTTAGATATTTTTGCATGCTCAGATGCCTATCCTGGTATTTGTTTTCAGCTCAGATGATAGCATGCACATGCTATATAAAGTCCGAGGCAAAACATGGTCTTGAGAGAGGACTTCTGACCCTACGATATATCTGAGTGATTTAGTGATGGGTATAAGGAACAGCAGGAATGATGGATCTGTGTTGCATGAGGTCCATTTTCACAATAAAATCTCCATCATTTGAAAGAACAGTTGGACATGCACTTTTGTGGTGGAGGACAAATTCTTTTTTCAGCCCCAAAACTAATCAGCATACAGCCTGGGCCTTTAGGGACAATTGGTCTAAAATTTTCAGTATTGCAAATAGAACTAGACCCTTGGGGAAGAAATGCAATGTAATTTGTTACCATAAATATATGATATTGTCATTAATGATATTACAACTTTGAGGTACCTGTACTAGGAGAAATCAGTGACTGCAATAGTCAAATGCAGCAAACTGCTTTGCTTTAGTTAAGATCTGTTTCCATTGCCCTCTTTCAGCTGCCAAACACTCTTGAATAGCTATAACTTTTATTCTAAAGCCCTGTGCAGACAGCAATCAACAAGAGGGGTTCATTATAGCAGTGTTCAATTGGCTTACGCTGTGTGTATTTTGTATGCTGAGAAACAATAAGAGCTAAAATCTCAACCCACACAGTCACCCCCCCAGGTGTCTATGACTCATTSCTCTAAGCTTCAGCCCTTGAAAGATCTCTGCATGGATTGGATTTCATAGATGAGCTGTACACTTGGAAAGAATGGCAGTGCCATTCTGTGTGTTGATAATACGAATCCTGCTCCTGGCAGTCATATTGTGTGTGGCCCCTGAATTCTGCATTATATATATTGTTGAACTGATTTTACGTTCCAGTGGTAGAGACTGTATGTTCTCYGGCCATGTACCTCTCTGGACACTTGTGTCATCAGGAAAATATTAAAGAACCTCAAAGGAGGCTTAGTATTGTCTCCTAGCCACACATTTTTGCTATCAGATTCCCACAAACTCATTTTTAGCTGTCAGCCACCTCAGAAGATTAGCATTTACCAAAAGACTTACTTTAGTAAAACAGGGGAAAGTGGAAAAGTTCTATTTAATAAAGTGCTTTTCTTTGTTGCATGAATTATTTCCCTCTCCTGTTAATATTTTCAGTGCATCTCAGCATTATGAGTTTAAGGCATAAAGTGATCTAGATTGATTGTGGAGGCAAAAGTAAAAGGGTTAAGTTCTGTTTTTGCCTYCTGCTACAGAAACATCATGTGCTGCTAATCACATGAAAAAGGAGAGTCTGTGAAGCTGTGTCTTGAAATATGGTGCCATTGCATCCAACTAGAAAGAGTTACAATGTAGATTACTTTGCATTTTTAAAGTATACAAAGATTTTAGAAGGTGTTGCATAATTTGGCAGGAGAGCCTCTGGAATTCTAGGAAGATTTGTGCAAATTCACCAATTAACTTCCCTTTCTCCCCCTGTTTTTATGACTCCAATTATAAAATCAATAAAATATAGAGGAGGAATTGCTTAAGAAATTTCTGAAGTCTTTCACAATGCCTCTTCTATTATCCTTATTTATCTTCTCAGTGCAAGAGATATTGCAGCTATTTAGACAATTGTCCTCATTGTTTTAAATCTTGATCTAGATTTCATTGTTAAATGTTATTATGGGGTAAGGCAAAGACTGTGGGCAGATAGTATTGCTAGTGCACTATGATACTAGAAAATTAAAGCTTTTAGATTGCTCTCTATTTGTGCAGCTGTTTGGGGTGTGATTGCTGGATGCTCCATTCTACAAGTGTCTGATGGGATGAACTGGCACATCCACAAGCCCTTGCGTGCTTATGCACCCAAAAAGGGGTATTTGTGAAAACAGCAAATATGTTTGCAGTACCATCTCCTGTGACAGCTGCTTTACTCAGGAGTTTCTAAAATCARCTCTTCCGGCTGTTGCAATTGTGCTGACTGCCAGGACACTGAGTGTATGCCTCCCACCTTCCATATTTTGTGTTTTACTATGATTTGTAACAATTACCATGTATCCCATGTAAGTCATCAGAAGCAATCTTTACTACATTTATAAATCAACCCATTAGAAAACACCAACTAGCTTTTCTGAGTGAAAACTCCATCTTTCGTAGTCTCCTCTGAACCTATGTTGTTTATCCTATGGGAAGAAAATATACAGCAGACTGAGAAAATGCATAGGTAATGTGGTGCATATTACCTACCCTCCACAATACACAAGTTATATGAAAAGCTCTAAAAAGAAAAACAAACAAAAACAATCCTTTAAAAGCTAATTCAAATCCTCTGTTTACAAGCAAGAGTTTTTGGAACTTTGAGTTGTTGTATCCATGTTTCTGCTTGCAAGTGGTTGTGCATGTTTCTGCATGGAACGGAAAGGCAGGAGTGTGTGTAAGCATATGTGAGGCAGATGAGGAAGTGGCAGCAGGATTGCATCATATACAGGTACAGTCCATTTAGCACTATCTT